TTTTACCATTTCCCACCCAATTTTCTGGAAATTCCCATTTTTTGCAATTTCCCCCCAATTTTGGGTTTTTTCCCAAATTTTGGGATTCCCACCCCAATTTTTTGGGATTTCCACCCAATTTCTTGGGATTTCCCCACAAATTTTGTGGGGTTTTTTTCCCAATTTTTTACCATTTCCCACCCAGTTTTTGGGAAATTCCCATTTTTTGCAATTTGCCCCAATTTTGGGTTTTTTCCCCAAATTCTGGGATTCCCATCTCAATTTTTTGGGATTTCCACCCAATTTCTTGGGATTTCCACCCCAAATTTTTGGGATTTCCCCACAAATTTTGTGGTTTTTTCCCCATTTTTTACCATTTCCCACCCAATTTTCTGGAAATTCCCATTTTTTGCAATTTCCCCCAATTTTGGGGTTTTTTCCCAATTTTTTACCATTTCCCACCCAATTTTTTGGGATTCCAAACCCAAATTTTTGCGATTCCCACCCCAAATTTTTGGGATTTCCCCACGCATTTTGTGGTTTCTTTCCCCATTTTTTACCATTTCCCACCCAATTTTTTGGGATTCCCACCCCAATTTTTTTACCATTTCCCACCCAATTTCTTGGGATTTCCACCCAAATTTTTGGGATTTCCCCACGAATTTTGTGGGGTTTTTTTCCCAATTTTTTTACCATTTCCCACCCAAATTTTTTGGGATTCCCACGCCAAATTTTTGGGATTTCCCCACGAATTTTGTGGGTTTTTTTCCCAATTTTTTGGGATTCCCATTCCAATTTTTTTACCATTTCCCACCCAATTTTTTGGGATTCCCACCCCAAATTTTTGGGATTTCCCCACGAATGTTGCGGGGTTTTTTTCCCAATTTTTCACCATTTCCCACCCAATTTTTTGGGATTCCCACCCCAAATTTTTGGGATTTCCTCACGAATTTTGCGGTTTTTTTCCCCAATTTTTTGGGATTCCCACCCCAATTTTTCACCATTTCCCACGTAAATTTCAGGATTTTCACCCCAAATTTTTGGGATTTCCCCACGAATTTTGTGGGGTTTTTTCCCAATTTTTCACCATTTCCCACCCAAATTTCAGGATTTCCCACCCCAAATTTTTGGGATTTCCCCATGAATGTTGTGGGGTTTTTTTCCCAATTTTTTACCATTTCCCACCCAAATTTCTCGGGATTTCCACCCCAATTTCTTGGGATTTCCACCCCAAATTTTTGGGATTTCGCCATGAATTTTGCAGGTTTTTTCCCAATTTTTTACCATTTCCCACCCAAGTTTTTGGGATTCCCAACCCAATTTTTTACCATTTCCCACCCAAATTTCTCGGGATTTCCACCCCAAATTTTTGGGATTTCCCCACGAATTTTGTGGGGGTTTTTTCCCCATTTTTTACCATTTCCCACCCAAATTTTTTGGGATTCCCACCCCAAATTTTTGGGATTTCCTCAATAATTTTGCGGGTTTTTTCCCCAATTTTTTGGGATTCCCACTCCAATTTTTCACCATTTCCCACGTAAAATTCAGGATTTCCCACCCCAAATTTTTGGGATTTCCCCACGAATTTTGCGGGTTTTTTGCCCAATTTTTTTGGGATTCCCACTCCAATTTTTCCCCATTTCCCACCCAAATTTCTTGGGATTTCCACCCCAAATTTTTGGGATTTCCCCATGAATTTTGCAGGTTTTTTTCCCAATTTTTTGGGATTCCCACCCCAATTTTTTACCATTTCCCACGTAAATTTCAGGATTTCCACCCCAAATTTTTGGGATTTCCCAATGAATTTTGTGGGTTTTTTCCCAATTTTTCACCATTTCCCACCCAATTTTTTGGGATTTCCACCCCAAATTTTTGGGATTTCCCCATGAATGTTGTGGGGTTTTTTTCCCAATTTTTCACCATTTCCCACCCCATTTTTTGGGATTCCCACCCCGATTTTTTACCATTTCCCACCCAAATTTCAGGATTTCCACCCCAAATTTTTGGGATTTCGCCATGAATTTTGTGGGGTTTTTTCCCAATTTTTTGGGATTCCCACTCCAAGTTTTCACCGTTTCCCACATAAATTTCAGGATTTCCACCCCAAATTTTTGGGATTTCCCCATGAATGTTGTGGGTTCTTTTCCCAATTTTTCCCCATTTCCCACCCAAATTTCAGGATTTCTGCCCCAATTTTTCCCCATTTCCCACCCAAATTTCAGGATTTCCCCCCAATTTTCCGCCGTTTCCCCAAATAACAGCCCCAGACCATCTCCACGTGCCCAAACTCCGTTTATCTCCGACTCCAACACTCGAGTGGGTGAAAATTCCCTCAGGGGGACCAACAAAATCCACCCAAAATCCCCCAAAATCCACCCAAAAAAATCCCACCCACAAAACTCCTCTTTACCACCGGACCGAACCATTTCCTCTCCGCGCGGGGGGGGGGACGGGATGAATTTTGGGGCGTTTTTGCCGTTTTTGGGGGTTTTTTTTCGGGGTTTTTGGGGTATTTACAGCGGGGGGAGGGGCAGGGCGGGCGGGGCGGGGCCCCCCGGGGATTTGGGGGGCCCGGGGGGGTTTTGGGGCTCCTCGGGGGGTTGGGGGGCGCCCCCGCGGCGGCCGCGCTTGCGGAAGTATTTGTAGCGCTGCACGTAGGCGCTGACCAGGCGCGTCACCTTCACCGGGTTGATCTCCCCGCTGCGGCTGTGGCAGATCTGGGGAAAAAACACGGGATTTTGGGGTTTTGGGGGGTTTGGGGGGGTTTGGGGGGTTTGAGGGATTTTTGGGAATGTTTTTTGATTTTTTGGGGGGTGTTTGGGGGGTTTTGGGGCTTTTTTTTGTGATTTTTTGAGGGATTTTGTGATTTTTTGGGGTTTTTTTAGGGTGCTTTTGGGGGGTTTTTGGGGGTTTTGGGGCTTTTTGGGATATTGGGGATTTTTTTCAGATTTTTTTGGGGGGGTCTTAGGGGGTTTTCAGGCATTTTTTGTGATTTTTTTTTGCGGGATTTTTAGGACTTTTTTGGGTTTTTGTGATGTTTTTGGGGGTTTTTTAGGGCGCTTTTGGGGGGTTTTTTGGGATTTTGGGGATTTTTAGGTTTTGGGGGTTTAGGGGATTTTGGGGATTTTTTTGTGGGGGTTTTGGGGGGTTTTTAGGCATTTTTTGTGATTTTTTTGAGGGATTTTTGTGATTTTTGGGGGGATTTTAGGGTGCTTTTGGGGGGTTTTTTGGGATTTTGGGGATTTTTAGGTTTTGGGATTTGGGGATTTTGGGGATTTTTGGGAATTTTTTTGGGGGGTTTTGGGGGGTTTTTAGGCATTTTTTGTGATTTTTTGAGGGATTTTTGTGATTTTTTGGGGGGTTTTTAGGGTGCTTTTGGGGGGGGTTGAGGGATTTTTGGGGTTTTTTTGGGAATTTTTAGGGATTTTGGGAATTTTGGGGATTTTTTGGGATTTTTCAGGGGGGTTTTAGGGGACTTTCAGGCATTTTTTGTGATTTTTTTCAGGATTTTTGTGATTTTTTGGGGGTTTATAGGGTGCTTTTGGGGGGTTTTTTGGGATTTTGGGGGATTTTGGGGGTTTGGGGGATTTTTGGGGATTTTTTTCAGATTTTTTTGAGGGGGTCTTAGGGGGTTTTCAGGCATTTTTTGTGATTTTTTTGCGGGATTTTTAGGACTTTTTTGGGGGTTTTGTGATGTTTTTGGGGTTTTTTAGGGCGCTTTTGGGAGGTTTTTTTGGATTTTGGGGATTTTGGGGATTTTGGGGGGTTTGGGGGATTTTTTTGGGATTTTTTTGTGATTTTTCAGGGGGGGTTTGGGGGGGTTTTTAGGTATTTTTTGTGATTTTTTGAGGGATTTTTGTGATTTTTTGGGGGTTTTTAGGTTGCTATTGGGGGTTTTTTGGGGTTTTATTCGGTTTTTTGGAGGATTTTGGGGATTTTTGGGGGGATTTGGGAATTTTGGGGTTTGGGGGATTTTTTTGGGATTTTTTTGGGGGGATTTTGGGGGGGTTTTTAGGCATTTTTTGTGATTTTTTTGGGGGATTTTTGTGATTTTTTGGGGATTTTTGTGATTTTTTTGGGGGATTTTACGGTGCTTTTGGGGGGTTTTTTGGGATTTTGGGGATTTTTAGGTTTTGAGGGTTTAGGGGATTTGGGGGATTTTTTTGGGGGGGGTTTAGGGGGTTTTTAGGCATTTTTTGTGATTTTTTGCGGGATTTTTGTGATTTTTTTGGGGTTTTTTTGGGGGGTTTTGAGGGATTTTTGGGGGGGTTTGGGATTTTGTGTATTTTTGAGAATTTTTGGGATTTTTGGGGGGGGGTTCGGGGGTTTTTTAGGCATTTTTTGTGATTTTTTGCAGGATTTTTGTGATTTTTTTGGGAGATTTTTTTGGGAGATTTTTTTATGGGTTTTGAGGGGTTTTTTGGGATTTTGGGGATTTTTAGGTTTTGGGGTTTGGGGGATTTTTTTGGGATTTTTTTGGGGATTTTTTGGGGGGTTTTGGGGGTTTTTAGGCATTTTTTGTGATTTTTTGTGGGATTTTTGTGATTTTTTTGGGGGTTTTTAGGGTGGTTTTGGGGGGTTTTTTGGGGTTTTATTAGGTTTTTTGGATGATTTTGGAGATTTTTTGGGATTTTGGGGTTTTTGGGGTTTTGGGAATTTTTGGGGATTTTTTTGGGGGCGTTTGGGGGGGTTTTTAGGCATTTTCTGTGATTTTTTGCGGAATTTTTGTGATTTTTTGGGGGTTTTTAGGGTGTTTTTGCGGGTTTTTTTGGGATTTTATTTGGTTTTTTGAAGGGTTTTAGGGGTTTTTTGGGATTTTGGGGCTTTTGAGGTTTAGGGGGTTTTGGAGGTTTTGGGAATTTTTGGGGATTTTTTTGGGGGGGGGGGTTGGGGGTTTTTTAGGCATTTTTTGCTCGTTTTTCCCCATTTTTCGCCCGATTTTCCCCAAATTTTCACAGTTTTTTCCCATTTTCCCCCTTTTTCACCCCAATTTAGTCTGACCTTGTGCACGGCCTTGCGCAGGATGTCCTTGTACTCGTCCTTGCTGATGTCCTTGCGCTGGTAGAAGGGTTTGATGGCGAGTTTCACCTCCTCCACCGCGCGCTCCTGCGTGTGCAGCTTCTGCAGGTACTGCGGGGGAAACGGGGTCACACAGGGGTCACACAGGGTCACACAGGGGTCACACGGGGTCACACAGGGGTCACGGGGTCACCATGAGGTCACGGGGTCGCCATAAGGTCACAGAGTCACCATGAGACCACGGGGTCAACTATGGTCACCATGAGGTCACCACAAGGTCATGAATTCACCGCAAGGTCATGGGGTCACCACAAGGTCACAGGGTCACTGTGAGGTCACCATAAGGTCACAGGGTCACCATGAAATCATGGAGTCACCTATGGTCACCATGAGGTCACCACAAGGTCATGGGGTCACCACAAGGTCATGGGGTCACCATAAGGTCACAGGGTCACCATAAGGTCAAAGGGTCACCATAAGGTCAAAGGGTCACCATGAAACCAGGGGGTCACCCAGGGTCACCATGAGGTCATGGGGTCACCCAGAGTTCACTGTGAGGTCACCACAAGGTCATGGGGTCATCACAAAGTCATGGGGTCACCACAAGGTCACAGGGTCACACAGGGGTCATGGGGTCACCATTAGGGCACAGGGTCAGCATAAGGTCACAGGGTCACCATAAGGTCACAGGGTCATGGGGTCACACAGGGTCACTGTGAGGTCAGCACAAGGTCATGGGGTCACCATAAGGTCACGGGGTCATCACAAGGTCATGGGGGTCACTATAAGGGCAGGGGGTCACCATAAGGTCACAGGGTCACCATGAGATCATGGGGTCACCCAGGGTTTGCTGTGAGGTCACCATGAGGTCATGGGGTCACCATAAGGTCACAAGGTCAGTTCAAAGTCACAGGGTCACACAGGGGTCACAGGGTCACCACTGGGTCATATGAGGTCACAGGGACAAAATGAGGTCATGGGGTCACACAGGGTCACACCAGGGTCATGGGGTCACCATAAGGTCACGGGACCACCACAAGGTCACAGGGTCACTATAAGGTCAAAGGGTCACCACGAGACCATGGGGTCACCCAGGGTTCAACATGAGGTCACCATGAAGTCATGGGGTCACCACAAGGTCATGGGGTCACCATTAGAGCACAGGGTCACAGTAAGGTCACAAGGTCACCCAGGGTCATCATGAGGTCATGGGGTCACCATAAGATCACAGAGTCACCGTGAGGTCACCACAAGGTCATGGGGTCACCACAAGGTCATAGGGTCACCATGGGGTCACCACAAAGTCATGAGGTCACACGGGGCTCACAGGGCCACCACTAGATTGTATGAGGTCACGGGGACACCATGAGGTCCCCAAAGTCCCCAAAGTCCAGAACCCCCCCATGCCCCCCAAGTCCCCAACATCGCCAACGTCCCCAATGTCCCCAAATGTCCTCAATGTCCCCGATGTCTCCCAGTGTCCCAAACATCCTCAACCCCCACAACGTCCCCAATATCCCCAATCCCAATGCCCCCCAATCCTTCCAAATGTCCCCAACCCCCCCAAATATCCCCAATGTCCCCAACGTCCCCAACCCCCCTGATGTCCCCAATGTCCCCAGCGTTCCCCAAATGTCCCCAATGCCCCGATGTCCCCAACCCCCTCAATGCCCCCCAATGTCCCCAAACCCCCCAACCTCCATCAAATCACCCCAATCCCCCACAGTGTCCCCAATGTCCCCAATCCCAATGCCCCCCAGTGCCCCCCCAATGTCCCCAACCCCCCCAATGTCCCCAACCCCCCCCAGTGCCCCCCAACCCCCGAATCCCCCCCAATGTCCCCAACCTCCCCAAACGTCCCAAATCCCCCCAAATGTCCCCAAATCCTCCCAACGTCCCCAATGTCCCCAACGTCCCCCAAATGTCCCCAATGTCCCGAATCCCCCCAGTGCCCCCCAATGCCCCAAAATGTCCCCACTGTCCCCAACACCCCCAAATGTCCCCAAATCCCCCCAGTCCCCCCAACCCCCCAATGTCCCCAACCCCCCCAACATCCCCAACGTCCCCAATGTCCCCAATATCCCCCAAATGTCCCCAATACCCCCAGTGTCCCCCACACCCCCAATGTCCCCAATCCCCCCCAAATATCCCCAATGTCCCAAACGTCCCCAATCCCCCCAACATTCCCAACGTCCCCAATCCCCCCAGTGCCCCCCAATGTCCCCAATCCCCCAAACGTTCCCAATGCCCCCCAATGTCCCCAAAGTCCCCCAGTGTCCCAAACATCCTCACACCCCCCAATCCCCCCAATACCCCCCCAATGTCCCCAGCCCCCCCAAATGTCCCCAATGTCCCCAGTGTCCCCCACACCCCCAATCCCCCCAATGCCCCCAATGTCCCCCCCCGTGTCCCGGTACCTTGTCGCTGTCCCCTCTGCCCTCGCTGTCCCTCCTGTCCCCCCCGTACAGGGGGGCTCCGGGCCCCGCCCCCCCCAGGCCGGGCAGGGTGGGGGTGGGGGGCGCGGGGGGGCCCCCCCCGAGGGGCAGCAGGTACGGGGGGGGGCCTGGGGGGGGCCCGGGGGGGCGGGGGGGGGCGGGGCGGGGCCCAGGGGGGGAGGGGCGGCCTTGCCCTGGCTCAGGATCTGCCAAAAAAAGGAAAAAAAATTGGGGGGCAACTTTATTGGGGGGTCCTCGGGGCTTTTTGGGGGTCCTCACCCCTATTTTGGGGTGTCCTCGGGGCTTTTTGGGGGTCCCCACCCTCATTCTGGGGTGTCCTTGGTGCTTCTTGGGGGTCCCCACCCCCATTTTGGGGTATCCCTGGTCATTTTTGGGGGTCCCCACCCTCATTCTCGGGTGTCCCTGGTCATTTTGGGGGTCCCCACCCCCATTTTGGGGTGTCCCTGGTCATTTTTGGGGTCCCCACCCTCATTCTGGGGTGTCCTTGGTGCTTCTTGGGGGTCCCCACCCTCATTTTGGGGTATCCCTGGTCATTTTTGGGGGTCCCCACCCTCATTTTGGGGTGTCCCTAGTCATTTTGGGGGTCCCCACCCCCATTTTGGGCTGTTCCTTTTGGGGGTCCCCATCTCTCTTCCCACTGTCCCACCTCAGTTTGGGGGTCCCCGTGTCCCCCCCCCCCAGTTTCGGGGTCCCCTCCGGGTGTCCCCCCAAATTTGGGGTCCCCACCTGGTTGGTGGCCTGGATCAGCTCCTGCGCCTTGGCCCGGCTGGCCAGGTTGGCCTCCTCCATCTTGAACAGCAGCGCCGTCACTGCGCCCCAAAAACACCCCAAAAACACCCCAAAACACGTTACCCCCGGGGAAACCCCAAAAACACCCCAAAAACACCCCAAAACACCCCAAAAACCCCCAAAACACCCGTTATCCCAGGGGCACCCCAAAACCACCCCAACCCCCCCCAAAAAGTCACCTATGTGCCAAAATCACCCAAAACCACCCCAAAACCCCCAAGAACCCCCCCAAAACTCCCCAAATCCCCCAAAAATGCCACCTACATGCCAAAACCCCCCCAAAACTCCCAAAAGACACCCTAAAACCCACCATAAACACACCAAAACCCCTCAAAATTCCCCAAAAACGCCACCTACGTGCCAAAACCCCCCAAAGCCCCCAAAACCCCCCCAAAACCGTCACCTATGTGCCAAAATCCCCCAAAACCCCTCAAAACTCCCCCAAAATCGCCAAAACCCCCCCAAAACCCCCGGAACAACCACCCCCAAACACCCCAAAACCACCCCAAAACCCCCCAAACCCCCCAAACCCGCCACCTATGTGCCAAAACCCCCCAAAAACTCCCAAACCCCCCCAAAATCCCCCAAACCCCCCAAACCCGCCACCTACATGCCAAAGTCCCCCAAATCCCCCCCAAAACCGCCACCTACGTGCCAAAATGCCCCAAAAACTCCCCAAACCACCCCCAAACCCCCCAAAAACCCCCCAAAACTGCCACCTACATGCCAAAATCCCCCAAAACCCCCGAAAGACACTCCAAAACCCACCATAAACACACCAAAACACCCCCAAAATCCCCCAAAAATGCCACCTATGTGCCAAAACCCCCCAAAACCCCCCCAAAAACCACCCCAAAACCCCCCCAAAACCCCCCAAAAACGCCACCTACGTGCCAAAACCCCCCAAAAACTCCCAAAACCCCACAAGAACCCCCCAAAATCCCCCCAAAACCACCCCAAAGCCCCCAAGAACCCCCCCAAAAATCCCCCCAAAACTGCCCCAAAATCCCCAAAACCACCCCAAAACCCCCCCAAAAAACCCCAAAAATGCCACCTACATGCAAAATCCCCCCAAAGCCCCCAAAACCCCCCCAAAACCGTCACCTATGTGCCAAAGTCCCCCAAAACCCCTCAAAACTCCCCCAAATACCCCCAAATCTCCCCAAATCCCCCCAAACCCCCCAAAAACCCCCCAACCCGCCACCTACGTGCCAAAATCCCCCCCAAAACTCCCAAAAGACACCCCAAAACCCACCATAAACACACCAAAACCCCCCCAAAAACTCCACCTACGTGCCAAAGTCCCCCCAAAACCATCCCAAAACCACCCCAAAACCCCCCAAAACTGCCACCTATGTGCCAAAACCCCCCAAAAATCCCCCAAAAACCCCCCAAAAGCTGCCCCAAAATCCCCAAGAACCCCCCAAGAACCCCCCAAAATCCCCCAAAATCCCCCCAAATCAACCCCCAAAACCACCCCAAAACCCCCAAAATCCCCCCAAAACCCCCCAAACCCCCCAACCCGCCACCTACGTGCCAGGACGCCGCTGGTGGCGCAGTCCACGCCGCCCTGCAGGCTCCAGCCCGGTGCCGGTGCCGGTGCCGCCGGTGCCGCCGGTGCCGCTCTGCCGCCGTCGTCCTTCCCCTCGCTGCGGCTGTCGGCCTCGGGGTCCGCCCCACTCTGGGGGTCCCCCACGCCCGTCCCCTCGGTTTTGGGGGGCGCCGCGGCGCCGTCCTCGGCGAGGAAGGACACGTCGGGGGTCTTGCAGCTGCTGTCCACCGTCTGCGAGTCCGGCGTCAGCTCCCGCTCCGCCGCGCCGGCCGCGCTCACCGATTTCGGCGCCGCCACCGCCGGTGACGGGGGGCTGGGAGGTTTTGGGGTCCCCCCGGCGGATTTCTCCGAGCCGGACCAGGCGGGTTCGGTTTTGGGGGGCAGGCGGAGCGGGGGGGAGGCGGCGCTTTGGCTGCAGCTGTCGGCCTTGGATTTCTTCAGCGCGGCAGCGCCGCCAGCGCCGGTTTTGGTTTTGGTTTTCCTCTTCTTGCGCGCTTCACCCTTGGTTTTAACCTTCACCTTCTTGACCGCGCCCTTGGTTTTGGGGGGTTTGGCTTTGCGCGGTTTCGCCCCCGCCTCGTTCCGCGGTTCGGGTTTGGGGGTTCCTTTCTCCGCCTTCTCCTCGGCCTTGAGGAACGCCGCGCGGCTCTCGGCGTTGCGGGCGAACTTCACCCCGATGCCGGCGGTGCCGCCGTCCTTGCCGGGCGTCGTGGTGGAGCTGACGCCCTCACGGATCAGCACCGACACCTTGGACTGCAGCTTCACCTTCCTCGGCGCCGCCGGCACCGCCGGAGCTTTCGGTGCCGCCGTTTCCGCCGCTTCCTTGCCGTGCGCGGTTTTGCCTTTCCGCCCGGTTTTTTCCCGTTGTTTCTCCTTGTTTTTCACCGGTTCAACCGCCGCCGGCTCGGCGTAATCCTTGAATTTCTTCTTGTATTTCTCCCTGGCCGGCGGCCGCTCCTCGGTGCGGCCGCGCTTCCTCTCCTTCTCCTTCTTGCCGGGCTCGTTGGGCGCCGGCCGCGCGTCGGTTTTGCGCGCCGGCGGCTCGGCGTGCTCGCGGTCGGAGAAGCCCTCGAAGCTCAGCCCCTCCGAGTCGTAGAGCACCTCCCGCTTGGGCTCGGGCGTGCCGGCGGCGCGCCGGCTCACCGTGATGGTCCTTTTGATGGCGAACAGGTCCGAGTCGTTCAGCTCCTGCACCGAGGGCGGCACCACGGCGCGGGGCTCGCGGCGCCGCGCCGCCTCGCCCTTCTCCGCCTTGGCCTCGGCGTCGCGCCGGGAGCCGCGGCGCTCCCGGGACCGCGAGCGCTGCTTCTTCTTCTTCTTCTCGCCGCGGTGCTTCTCCTTGTGCCGCGAGCGGCCGGAGCTGCCGGAGCGCCGCCGCCGCCGCTTCTCCCGCGAGCGCGAGCGCCGCGACCACGAGCGCCGGCGCGACCGCGACCGCGACCCGCGCCGCCGGTGCCGCTCCTTCGATTTCGGCGCCGGCTCCGGCGCTTTCTTGGCGCTGCCGCCGGCCCAGGCGGTGCCGCCGGTGCCGGAGGAGCCGCCGCGCTCGCGGGACCGTTTGGATTTCTTGCGGGACGCCGCCGACGGCGAGCGCAGCGAGGGCGGCGCGCGGAGCCGCCGCTGGCTCAGGATTTTGCGCCGCAGGTCGGAACCGCCGCCGGCGGCGCCGCCGCTTTTCCAGCGCGGATCCGGCTGCGACTCGGCGCCGAAATCGGCCTCTTCGTCCGAGTCGGCGTGCAGCGACAGGAAATCGTCGCCGCCCTCGGGCAGCCGCGGCGCTCGCGGCTCCGGCGCGCGGCCACGGGCGTTCCCGGCGCTCCCGGTGGTGCCGGCGGTGCCGCGGAAGATCCGCAGCGGGCTGAAGCGCTCCTCCTCCGGCTGCACGATCTCGCCCTCCTCGATCTCCGAGTCGCCCGGCGTGCCCCACTCGCGCCGCCCGCGGTGCCGCGGCGGTTTCGGCGCCCCTGCAGCGGTTCCGGCGGCGTTGGCGGTTCCTCCACCGCGGGGTTGCGGTGCTGCCGGCGGCGCTTTGGCGTTGCCGGCGGTCACCACCTCCAGGGAGAGCTTGCCGTCGAATTTGGCGTGCGCCTCGCTCTCGGCGCGGCCTTTGCCGCCCAGATCCACCACGAAGACGCGGCGGCGCGGCTCCGCCTCCACGGCGGCGGCGGCGGCACGGCGGGGCGAGGAGCCTTCCTCCCGCTCTTCCTCCTCCTCCTCCTCCTCCTCTTCCTCCTCCTCCTCCTCCTCCTCCTCCTCCTCCTCCTCCTCCTCGGGCAGCGTGGAGTCGGCGCCGGGCGCGTTGGGCGGCGTTTTGGGCGGCGCCGGCTCCGGATCTTTCTCGAAGTCTTGGCTCAGGCTGTTGTCGTCGTAGATGCCGGCCAAGGTCTCCGAGATGCGGCTGATGCTGTGCGAGACGTCCGGCAGCGCCGGCTGCTCTTCCTCCTCCTCCTCCTCCTCCTCCTCCTCTTCCTCCTCCTCTTCTTCCTCCTCCTCCTCTTCATCCTCCTCCTCCTCCTCCTCCTCCTCCTCGGGGCTGGGGCTGCTGCGCGAGGAGCTGGGGTTGGAGCCGGTGGGGTCGAAGGGGTCGTACTTCTGGTCCTGCCGCCCTTCGGCCTCTTTGCCGGGCGAGGAAGATGAGGCGGCGCCGCCGGCGGTTCCGGCAGAACCGGCGCCGTAACCGAATTCCGGCGCCGCGCCGCCGCCGCCGCCCGCCGGGTTCTCCTCGTCCGTGGGGTGGAAAGGATCATAAATATCCAGGGAGGGCGAGCGGGGCCGGGCGGGAACGGGCGGGGGGCAGGAGGAAGAGGAGGCGGGCGAGGAGGAAGAGCGGGAGGAGGATGAGGATGAGGAAGAAGAGGAGGAAGAGGAGGAAGAGGAGGAGGAATCGGCTTTTTCCGGCGGGTGGGCGCGGCCGGGCTCGTCGCGGCCGGCGGGGGGTGGTTGTGGGGGGCGCTGTTGTTGTTGGTGCTGTTGTTGTTTTTGGGGTCCCCCCGGCCCCCCCGGAGCCGCCGCTCGGGGTCCCCGGGGGCGCCGAGGCCGGGCCGGGGTCGGGGGAGGGGCGCGGCGGGTCCGGTGGGGGAGGGGAGGAGCCGGGGGGGTCCCGGCGGGGGGGCCCGGGGGGCACGGGGGACCCCCGGGGACGCGCCAGCGGCGGGAGGAGGAGCCAGGGAGGGGACCTGGGGGGGACAGGAGGTGGCATCAAAGTCGGCAAAGAGGCACCCGAAATATCGACTTTGCACCCCAAAATGTCCCATTTTCACCCCAAAATATCCCATTTGTACCCCAAATGTCCCATTTGTACCCAAAATATCCCATTTGTACCCCAAATACCCCATTTGTATCCCAAAATATCCCATTTGTACCCCAAAATATCCCATTTGTACCCCAAAATATCCAATTTGTACCCAAAATATCCCATTTGTACCCCAAAATATCCCATTTGTATCCAAAATATCCCATTTGTACCCAAAATATCCCATTTGTACCCCAAAATATTCCATTTGTACCCCAAAATATCCCATTTGTACCGCAAATATTCCATTTGTTCCCCAAAATATCCCATTTGGACCCCAAAATATCCCATTTTTCCCTAAAATCCACCATTTCTGCCCTAAATCCTATAAAGAGTTCCTCAAAATATCCTATTTCCAGCCCAAAGTATCCCATTTCCACCCCAAAATATTTCACTTCTAGCCAAAATATCCCATTTTTGCCTAAAATTCACCATTTGTGCCCTAAATCCTAAAAAGATCCATTTCCAACCCAAATATCCCATTTCCAGTCCAAAATATCCCATTTGTACCCCAAAATATCCCATTTTTCCCTAATATAAACCATTTCTGCCCTAAATCCTATAAAGATCCATTTCCAACCCAAATATCCCATTTGTACCCCAAAATGTCCCATTTGTACGCAAAATATCCCATTTGTACCCCAAAATATCCCATTTGTACCCCAAAATATCCCACTTGTACCCCAAATATTCCATTCATACCCCAAATATTCCATCTGTACCCCAAAATATCCCATTTGTACCCCAAAATATCCCATTTGTACCCAAAATATCCCATTTGTACCCAAAATATCCCATTTGTACCCAAAATATCCCATTTCTACACCAAAATATCCCATTTGTACCCAAAATATCCCATTTGTACCCCAAAATATCCCATTTGTACCCAAAATATCCCATTTGTGCCCCAAATATTCCATTTGTACCCAAAATATCCCATTTGTACACAAAATATCCCATTTGTACCCCAAATGTCCCATTTGTACCCAAAATATCCCATTTGTACCCAAAATATCCAATTTTTAGCCAAAATCCCCCATTCCCATTTCCAGCCCAAAATATCCCATTTGCACCCCAAAATATCCCATTTGTACCCAAAATATCCCATTTGTACCCCAAAATATCCCATTTGTACCCAAAATATCCCGTTTTCACCCCAAAATATCCCATTTGTACCCAAAATATCCAATTTTTAGCCAAAATCCCCCATTCCCATTTCCAGCCCAAAATATCCCATTTGTACCCCAAAATATCCCATTTGTACCCAAAATATCCCATTTGTACCCAAAATATCCCATTTGTACCAAAAATATCCCGTTTGTACCCCAAAATATCCCATTTGTACCAAAAATATCCAATTTTTAGCCAAAATCCCCCATTCCCATTTCCAGCCCAAAATATCCCATTTGTACCCCAAAATATTCCATTTGTACCCCAAAATATCCCATTTGTACCCCAAAATATCCCACTTGTACCCCAAAATATCCCATTTGTACCCAAAATATCCCATTTGTACCCCAAATATTCCATTTGTACCCCAAAATATCCCATTTGTACCCCAAAATATCCCATTTGTACCCCAAAATATCCTGTTTTCACCCCAAAATATCCCATTTTTCCCTAAAATATCCCATTTCTGCCCTAAATCCTATAAAGATCAATTTCCAGCCCAAATATCCCATTTGTACCCCAAAATATCCCATTTGAACCCCAAATGTCCCATTTGTACCCAAATATTCCATTTGTACCCAAATATTCCATTTGTACCCCAAAATGTCCCATTTGTACCCCAAAATATCCCATTTGTACCCCAAAATATCCCACTTGTACCCCAAAATATCCCACTTGTACCCCAAAATATCCCATTTGTACCCCAAAATATCCCATTTGTACCCCAAAATATCCCATTTGTACCCCAAATATCCAATTTCAACCCCTAAATATCCCATTTGTACCCCAAAATATCCCATTTGTACCCAAAATATCCCATTTGTACCCAAAATATCCCATTTGTACCCCAAATATCCCATTTGTACCCAAAATATCCAATTTTTAGCCAAAATCCCCCATTCCCATTTCCAGCCCAAAATATCCCATTTGTACCCCAAAATATCCCATTTGTACCCCAAAATATCCCATTTGTACCCAAAATATCCCATTTTTAGTTAAAATCCACCATTTCCAGCCCAAAATATCCCATTTGTACCCCAAAATGTCCCACTTGTACCCAAAATATCCCATTTGTACCCAAAATATCCCATTTGTACCCAAAATATCCCATTTGTACCCCAAAATATCCCATTTGTACCCCAAAATATCCCATTTGTACCCAAAATATCCCATTTTTAGTTAAAATCCACCATTTCCAGCCCAAAATATCCCATTTGTACCCCAAAATGTCCCACTTGTACCCAAAATATCCCATTTGTACCCAAAATATCCCATTTGTACCCAAAATGTCCCATTTCCAGCCCAAATATCCCATTTGTACCCAAAATATCCCATTTTTACCCCAAAATATCCCATTTGGACCCCAAATATTCCATTTGTACCCCAAATATTCCATTTGTACTCCAAAATATCCCGTTTGTACCCAAAATATCCCATTTGTACCCAAAATATCCCATTTGTACCCAAAATATCCCATTTGTACCCAAAATATCCCATTTTTCCCTAAAATCCACCATTTCAGCCCTAAATCCTAGTCCCTCAAAATATTCCATTTGCACCCCAAAAGATCCCATTTGTACCCCAAAAATCCCAAAATACACCCAAAATCCCCCCAAAACCCTCCCAACATCCACCAAAACCACCTAAAAGGCTCCAAAATCCCCTCAAAGCCCCCCAAAATCCCCCAAAATCCTCCCAAAACGCCCCCAAAATCCCCCTCAAATCTTCCCCGAACCCCAAAATTACCCCAAAATCCACCCAAACCCCCCCCAAAATCCACCCGGAAGTCCCAAAATCCACCCAAAACCCCCCCAAAATCCACCCCAAGTTTCCCCCAAAATTCCAAAATCCACCCCAATTCCCCCCAAACCCCCCCAAAATCCATCCCAAACCCCCCCCAAATCCCCCCAAACCCCCCCAAAATCCACCCCAATTCCCCCCCAAAATTCCAAAACTCACCCCAATTCCCCCCAAATCCCCTCAAACCCCCCCAAAATCCACCCCAAATCCCCCCAAATCCCCCCAATTCCCCCCAAATCCCCCCAAAATCCACCCCAAATCCCCCCCGAGAATTCCAAAATCCACCCCAATTCCTCCCCAAAATTCCAAAACCCACCCCAATTCACCCCAAATCCCCCCAAAATCCACCCCAATTCCCCTCAAACCCCCCCAAAATCCACCCCAATTCCCCTCCAAAATTCCAAAACCCACCCCAATTCCCCCCAAATCCCCTCAAACCCCCCCAAATCCATCCCAACCCCCCCCAAATCCACCTAAACCCTCCTGAAAACCCCCGAAAATGCGCCCCAAATCCTCCCAAAACCCAAAAAAATCCCCCAAAATCCATCCCAAACCCCCCCAAATCCACCCAAACCCTCCTGAAAACCCCCGGAAATGCACCCAAAATCCTCCCAAAACCCCCCAAAATGACCCAAAAACCCCCCCAAATCCCCCCAAAACGCCCCCCAAAATTCCAGAATCCACTCCCAATTCCCCCCAAATCCCCTCAAACCCCCCCAAAATCCACCCCAAATCCCCCCAAAATCCACCCCAATTCCCCCCAAATCCCCCCAAAATCCACCCCAATTCCCCCCCAAAATTCCAAAATCCTCCCAAAACCCCCCAAATCCACCCAAACCCTCCTGAAAACCCCCGGAAATGCACCCAAAATCCTCCCAAAATCCCCCAAAATGACCCGAAAACCCTCCCAAATCCCCCCAAAACGCCCCCCAAAATTCCAGAATCCACTCCCAATTCCCCTCAAACCCCCCCAAAATCCACCCCAATTCCCCCCAAACCCCCCCAAAATCCACCCCAATTCCCCCCAAACCCCCCCAAAATCCATCCCAAACCCCCCCAAATCCACCCAAACCCTCCTGAAAACCCCCGAAAATGCACCCAAAATCCTCCCAAAACCCCCCAAAATCCACCCCAATTTCCCCCCAAAATTCTAAAGTCCACTCCAATTCCCCCCAAATCCCCTCAAACCCCCCAAAACCCACCCCAAATCCCCTCAAACCCCCCAAAATCCATCCCAAACCCCCCCAAAATCCATCCCAAACACCCCCAAATCCACCCAAACCCTCCTGAAAACCCCCGGAAATGCACCCAAAATCCTCCCAAAACCCCCCAAAATGCCCCCAAATCCCCCCAAATCCCCCCAAATCCCCCCCCCGACCCCCTGACCTCCTTTGGGGGCTCTCCAGGGCCGCTCCCGGCGCAGGAGCCCCGAGGCGGCCGCCAGCCCCCCCAAATCGGCCACGCGGACCTCGGCCACCAACTCCAGCTCCTCGTCTTCGGGGGACCCCTCCCCGCTGGGGGCACAGGCACCGGCTGAACCCCAAAACCGACCCCGGGACCCCAAAATGGGCCCAGAAACGGGGCCCAAAGTCCCAAAAATGGAGCCCAAAAATGCACCCCAAAATCTCAAAAATGTACCCCACAAATGGGCCCCAAAATCCCAAAAATGCACCCCAGAAATGGACCCCAAAATCCCAAAAATGGACCCCAGAAACGGAGCCCAAAACCCCAAAAATGGGCCCAGAAACGGGGCACAAAACCCCAAAAATGGAGCCCAAAATCGACCCCGGGACCCCAAAATGGGCCCCAGAAACGGGGCCAAAAGTCCCAAAAATGGGCCCAGAAACGGAGCACAAAGTTCCAAAAATGGAGCCCAAAACCCCAAAAATGGGCCCCAGAAACTGAGCCCAAAGTCCCAGAAACGGAGCCCCAAGTCCCAAAAATGGAGCACAAAGTCCCAAAAACGGACCCCAAAAATCGAGCCCAAAATCCCACAAATGGGCCCCAGAAATGGAGCACAAAGTCCCAAAAATGGGCACCAGAAACGGACCCCGAAATCCCAAAACCGGACACCAGAAATGGAGCCCGAAGTCCCAAAAATGAACCCAAAAATGGACCCCAAAATCCCCCCCTGAAACCCAAAAAATGGACCCCAGAAACAGAGCCCAAATTCCCAAAAATGGACCCCAAAATCTGATCCCAGAATACCAAAAATGGACCCCAAAATCCCAAAAATGGGCCCAGAAACGGAGCCCAAAGTCCCAAAAATGGAGCCCAAAATCCAAAAATGGGCCCCAGAAACGGAGCCCAAAGTCCCAAAAATGGGCCCAGAAACGGAGCACAAAGTTCCAAAAATGGAGCCCAAAACCCCAAAAATGGGCCCCAGAAACAGAGCCCAAAGTCCCAAAAATGGAGCCCAAAATCCCAAAAACGGACCCCAGAAATTGACCTCAAAAACGGACCCCAGAATCCCAAAAAATGGACCCCAAAATCCGACCCCAGAATCCCAAAAATGGACCCCAAAATCCGATCCCAGAATACCAAAAATGGACCCCAAAAATGGACCCCAAAATCCCAAAAATGGACACCAGAAATGGACCCCAAAATCCCAAAAATGGACCCCAGAAATGGACCCCAAAATCCTAAACATGGACCCCAAAATCCCCCCCCGAAGCCCAAAAGTGGAACCCAAAAATAGACCCCAAAGATGGACGCCAAAATCCCAAAAATGGACCCCAAAAATGGAGCCCAAAATCCCAAAAGTGGACCCCAAAACCACACCCCAAAATCCCAAAAATGGACCCCAGAAATGGACCCCAAAATCCTAGAAACGGACCCCAAAATCCGATCCCAGAATACCAAAAATGGACCCCAAAAATGGACCCCAAAATCCCAAAAATAGACCCCAGAAACAGAGCCCAAAGTCCCAAAAATGGGCCCCAGAAACAGAGCCCAAAATCCCAAAAATGGACCCCAGAAATGGAGCCCAAAATCCCAAAAATGGACCCCAAAACCCCAAAAATGGAGCCCAAAATCCCAAAAATGGACCCCAGAAACAGAGCCCAAAGTCCCAAAAATGGAGCCCAAAGTCCCAAAAATGGGCCCAGAAACGGAGCACAAAGTCCCAAAAACGGACCCCAAAACCCCAAAAATGGGCCCCAGAAACGGAGCACAAAGCCCCAAAAATGGACCCCAGAAATGGACCCCAAAAACAGACCCCAGAACCCCAAAAATGGGCCCCAGAAACGAAGCCCAAAGTCCCAAAAATGGAGCCCGAAATCCCACAAATGGGCCCCAGAAATGGAGCCCAAAACCCCAAAAATGGGCCCCAGAAACAGAGCCCAAAACCCCAAAAATGGAGCCCAAAATCCCAAAAATGGGCCCCAGAAATGGAGCACAAAGTCCCAAAAATGGGCCCAGAAACGGGGCACAAAGTCCCAGAAATGGAGCCCAAAATCCCAAAAACGGACCCCAGAAATGGACCCCAAAATCCCAAAAATGGACCCCAGAAATGGAGCACAAAATCCCAAAAATGGAGCCCAAAAACGAACCCCAAAATCCCAAAAATAGACCCCAGAAATGGGCCCCAAAATCCCAAAAATGGACCCCAGAAACGGACCCCAAAATTCTAAACATGGACCCCAAAATCCCCCCCCGAAGCCCAAAAATGGACCCCAGAAATGGACCCCAAAAATGGACCCCAAAATCCCAAAAACGGACCCCCAAAAATGGACCCTAAAATCCCAATAATGGACCCCAAAAATGGACCCCAAAGTCCCAAAAATGGACCCCAAAATCTGATCCCAGAATACCAAAAATGGACCCCAAAATCCCAAAAATGGACCCCAAAAATGGACCCCAAAATCCCAAAAATGGACCACAGAAATGGAGCCCGAAATCCCAAAAATGGGCCACAGAAACGGAGCCCAAAATCCCAAAAATGGAGCCCAAAAATGGACCCCAAAATCCCAAAAATGGGCCCCAAAATCCGACCCCAAAGTCCCCCCATGAAGCCCAAAAATGGACCCCAAAAATGGACCCCAAAATCTTAAAAATGGATACCAAAAATGGACCCCCAAAAATGGAGCCCAAAATCCCAATAATGGACCCCAAAATCCGACCCCAGAATCCCAAAAATGGACCCCAAAAATGGACCCCAAAGTCCCAAAAATGGACCCCAGAAATGCACCCCAAAACCCCAAAATCCAATCCCAGAATACCAAAAATGGACCCCAAAAATGGACCCCAAAATCCCAAAAATGGGCCCCAGAAACGGAGCCCAAAATCCCAAAAATGGAGCCCAAAATCCGACCCAAAAGTCCCAAAAATGGACCCCAAAATCCCCCCATGAAGCCCAAAAATGGACCCCAAAAATGGGCCCCAAAATCCCAAAAATGGACCCCAAAAATAGGCCCCAAAATCCCAAAAATGGACCCCAAAAATGGGCCCCAAAATTCTACACATGGACCCCAAAATCCCCCCCCACCGAAGCCCAAAAGTGGACCCCAAAAATGGACCCCAAAAATGAACCCCAAAAATGGACCCCAAAATCCCAAAAAAGGACCCCAAAAATGGGCCCCAAAATCCCAAAAATGGACCCCAAAAATGGGCCCCAAAATCCCCCCTAAACCCCAAAAACAGGCGCAGAAACCCAAATTTTTGGGGTCCCCGTCCACCATTTTTGGGATTCCCTCCATTTTTGGGGTCACCCCAATTTTAGGGGTGTCCCTCCAAATTTTTGGGGATTCCCCCCCGGAATTTTTGGGGATTTCCCCCAAATTTTGGGTTGTCCCCCCCTCATTTTTTGGGATCTCCCCCAATTTTTGGGGTCCCCCTCAATTTTTGAACTTTCCCCCCTATTTTTAGGATCCCCCCACCAATTTTTGGGAACGCCCCAAAATTTTGGGATCTTCGGGGATCCCCCTCCAAATTTTGGGGATTTCCTCCAAATTTTGGGTTGTTTCCCCCTGATTTTTGGGATCCATTCCAAATTTTGGGGTCCCCCCATTGTTTGGGGTGTCCCTCCCAATTTTTGAGGGTCCCCCCAAATTTTGGGTTGTTTCCCCCCAAATTTTTGGGGTCTTCCCCCAATTTTTGGGGTCCTCCCCCGATTTTCGGGGATGCCCCTCCAATTTTTGGGGATTTCCTCCAAATTTTGGGTTGCTCCCCCCCGATTTTTGGGATCCATTCCAAATTTTGGGGTCCCCCCATTTTTTGGGGTGTCCCTCCTAATTTTTGAGGGTCTCCCCCCAAATTTTGGGTTGTTCCCCCCACCGATTTTTGGGGTCCATTCTGAATTTTTGGGGTGTCCCCCCCAATTTTTTGGGTCCCCCCCCAATTTTTGGGGATTTCCCCCAAATTTTGGGTTGTTCCCCCCCATTTTTTGGGATCCATTCCCAATTTTTGGGGTCCCCCCCCAATTTTTTGGGGATTTCCCCCAAATTTTGGGTTGTTCCCCCCCGTTTTTTGTGGTCCATTCCCAATTTTTGGGGTCCCCCCCCAAATTTTGGGGTCCCCCCCTCACCTGCTGAGCTGCAGCTGCTCCAGGGCCCCCCCCGGGCCCCCCACGGGCTCCCAAACCTGGGGGGAAACCCGGAACTGGTCAGACTGGGAGGGACTGGTTTATACTGGGAGGGACTGGGACAAACTGGGAGGGACTGGGATGGACTGGGAGGAAACTGGGAGGGACTGGGAGGGACTGGGGGGGACTGGGGGGGAACTGGGACAAACTGGGAGGGACTGGGATGGACTGGGAGGAAACTGGGAGGGACTGGGAGGGACTGGGGGGGACTGGGGGGGAACTGGGACAAACTGGGAGGGACTGGGAGGGAACTGGGAGGGATGGGGAGGGACTGGTTTATACTGGGAGGGACTGGGATAAACTGGGAGGGACTGGGAGGGACTGGTTTATACTGGGAGGGAACTGGGAGGGACTGGGATGGAACTGGGAGGGAAATGGGATATACTGGGAGGGACTGGGAGGGACTGGGATGGACTGGTTTATACTGGGAGGGACTGGGAGGGAACTGGGAGGGACTGGGAGGGACTGGTTTATACTGGGAGGGACTGGGAGGGAACTGGGAGGGACTGGGAGGGAACTGGGAGGGACTGGGAGGGACTGGGAGGGGACTGGGAGGGACTGGGAGGGACTGGGAGGGAACTGGGAGGGACTGGGACAAACTGGGAGGGACTGGGACAAACTGGGACAGACTGGTTTATACTGGGAGGGAACTGGGAGGGGACTGGGACAAACTGGGAGGGAAATGGGACAAACTGGGAGGGACTGGGACAAACTGGGAGGGACTGGGAGGGACTGGTTTATACTGGGAGGGACTGGGAGGGAACTGGGAGGGACTGGTTTATACTGGGGGGGACTGGGAGGGACTGGGAAGGACTGGGATATACTGGGAGGGGACTGGGAGGGACTGGGAGGGAACTGGGAGGGAACTGGGATGGAACTGGGACAAACTGGGAGGGAACTGGGAGGGAACTGGGAGGGAACTGGGAGGGAACTGGGACAAACTGGGAGGGAACTGGGAGGGAACTGGGACAAACTGGGAGGGACTGGTTTATACTGGGAGGGACTGGGAGGGAACTGAGAGGGACTGGGATATACTGGGAGGGACTGGGAGGAACTGGGACAAACTGGGAGGGACTGGGAGGGAACTGGGAGGGACTGGGAGGGGACTGGGATATACTGGGAAGGGAACTGGGCTGTACTGGGATGAACTGGGATGAACTGGGATGAACTGGGAACAGAAGGGAGATGGACTGGGATGGACTGGTCCATACAGGTCTGAACTGGTCTGCATTGGTCTGTACGGGTCCATACTGGTTTATACTGGTTTGTACTGGTCCATACTGGTTTATACTGGTCCCTACAGGTCCATACTGGTTTATACTGGTTTATACTGTCCGTACTGGTCTATACTGGTTTGTACTGGTCCATACTGGTCTATACCGATCTGTACAGGTCTATACTGGTCTATACTGGTCCATACTAGTCTATACGGGTTTATACCAGTCCACACTGATCTATACTGGTTTATACTGGTCCGTACTGGTCCATACAGGTCCATACCATACTGGTCTATACTGGTCTGTACTGCTCCATACTGGTTTATACTGTCTGTACTGGTCCATACTGGTCCATACTGGTCTATACTGGTCTGTACAGGTCCATACTGGTCTATACTGGTCTGTACAGGTCCATACTGGTCTATACTGGTCCATACTGGTCCATACTGGTCCATACTGGTCCATACTGGTTTATACTGTCCATACTGGTCCATACTGGTCTGTACTGGTCCATACAGGTCCCTACTGGTTTATACTGGTCTGTACTGATCCATACAGGTCCATACAGGTCCATACTGGTCCATACTGGTCCGTACTGGTCCATACTGGTCCGTACAGGTTTATACTGGTCCATACTGGTCCATACTAGTCCATACTGGTTTATACCAGTCCACACTGGTCTATATTCATTTATACTGGTCCATACTGGTTTATACTGTCTGTACTGGTCCGTACTGGTCCATACAGGTCCATACTGGTCTGTACTGGTCCATACTGGTCCATACTGGTCCGTACTGGTCCATACAGGTCCATACTGGTCCATACTGGTCCGTACCGGTCCATACTGGTCCATACTGGTCCATACTGGTCCATACTGGTCCGTACTGGTCCATACAGGTCCATACTGGTCCATACTGGTCCGTACCGGTCCATACTGGTCCATACTGGTCCGTACTGGTTTATACTGGTCCATACTGGGACTCACCGTGCCGCCCTCGGGCCGGGCTCCCCAGCACCAGCGCTGCAGCCGGGGGGGCTTGTGGGGGGGGTCTGGGGACAGAGGGGACACGGTCAGAGGGGGGGGACAGCGGGGACACCCCAGGGGACACCAGGTGACATTGGGGACAACCCAGGGGACATTTGGGGACACCCCAGGGGACACCAGGGGACATTGGGGACACCCCCAGGTGACATCAGGGACACCCCCAGGTGACATCGGGGACACCCCAGGTGACATCGGGGACACCCACAGGTGACATTTGGGACCCCCCAGGTGACATTGGGGACACCCACAGATGACATTTGGGACCCCCAGGTGACATTGGGACCCCCAGGTGACATTTGGGACCCCCCAGAGGACACTGGGGACCCCCCAGGTGACATTGGGGACCCCCCAGGTGACATCAGGACCCCCCAGGTGACATTGGGGACCCCCCAGGTGACATTGGGGACACCCCAGGTGACATTGGGGACCCCCCAGGTGACATTTGGGGACCCCCCAGGTGACATCAGGACCCCCCAAGTGACATAGGGGACACCCACAGGTGACATCAGGGACACCCCAGGTGACATTGGGACCCCCCAGGTGACATTGGGGACACCCCCAGGTGACAATGGGGACCCCCAGGTGACATTTGGGACCCCCCACATCACATTTGGGACCCCCCAGGTGACATTTGGGACACCCCCAGGTGACACCAGGACCCCCCAGGTGACATTTGGGACACCCCCCAGGTGACATTTGGGACCCCCCAGGTGACATCAGGGACCCCCCAGGTGACATCAGGGATACCCCAGGTGACATTGGGGACCCCCCAGGTGACACCAGGTGACATCGGGGACACCCCAGGGGACATTGGGGACACCCCAGGTGACATTGGGGACCCCCCAGGTGACATCGGGGACACCCCCAGGTGACACCAGGACACCCCAGGTGACATTGGGGTCCCCCCAGGTGACATCGGGGCTCTCACCTTGTCCCCAGGTGCCGGCGCCGCTCAGGAGGCGCTGCAGAGCTTTCTGTGGGGAGGGAGCCCAAAATCACCCCAAATCACCCCAAAATCACCCAAAATAACCCCAAATCACCCCAAAAATCACCCAAAATCACCCCAAAAATCAGCCCAAAAAATCACCCCAATATACCCCAAAATCACCCCAAAAATCACCCCAAATCACCCCAAAAATCACCCCAGAAGCACCCAAAATCACCCCAAATCAGCCCAAAAATCACCCCAAAATCCCCCCAAATCACCCCAAAACCAGCTCAAAATACCCTAAAATCACCCCAAAAATCACCCCAAAAATCAGCCCAAAATCACCCCAAAATACCCCCAAAATCACCCCAAAAATCAGCCCAAAAATCAGCCCAAAATCAGCCCAAAAATCAGCCCCAAATCAGCCCAATATACTCCAAAATCAGCCCAAAATACCCCAAATCACCCCAAAAATCACCCCAAAAGCACCCAAAAATCGCCCCAAAAATCACCCTAAAATCAGCCCAAAAGCACCCCAATATACCCCAAAATCAGCCCAAATCACCCCAAAAATCACCTCAAATCACCCCAGAAATCACCCCAAAATAAACCAAATAATCACCCCATAATCAGCCCAAAATCACCCCAATATACCCCAAAATCAGCCCAAAAATCAGCCCAAAAATCACCCCAAATCACCCCAAAAATCAGCCCAAAAATTACCCCAATATACTCCAAAATCACCCCAAAAATCACCCCAAAATCATCCCAAAAATCAGCCCAAAAATCACCCCAAAAATCATCCCAAAATACCCCAAAATCAGCCCAAAAATCAGCCCAATATACTCCAAAATCAGCCCAAAATCATCCCAAAAATCACCCCAAAATCACTCCAAAATCACCCCAAATCACCCCAAATCAGCCCAAAAATCACCCCAAAAATCACCCCAGAATCACCCCAAATCCCCCCAAATCACTCCAAAAATCACCCCAAATCACCCCAAAATCCACCCCAAATCACCCCAAAATCAGCCCAATATACTCCAAAATTACCCCAAAAATCACCCCAATATACTCCAAAATCAGTCCAAAATACCCCAAATCACCCCAAAAATCACCCCAAAAATTGCCCAAAATCAGCCCAAAATCACCCCAAAAATCACCCCAAAATCAGCCAAAAAATATCCAAAAACACCCCCAGAATCACCCCAAACATCACACAAAATACCCCAAAAATACCCCCAAAATCACACAAAATACCCCAAAATCACCCCAAAACCCACCCCAAACCCCTCCCAGTCCCTCCCAGTTCCCTCCCAGTTTATCCCAGTTCCCTCCCACTCCCTCCCAGTGCTCCCAGTTTGCCTCCCAGTCTGTCCCAGTTTATCCCAGTCCCTCCCAGTTTGTCCCAGTCCCCCCCAGCTCCCCCCGAGTCCCCCCGCAGTCCCCCCCAGTATAAACCAGTCCCTCCCAGTCCATCCCAGTCCCCCCCAGTCCCTCCCAGTATAAACCAGTCTCCTCCCAGTTCCCTCCCAGTCCCCCCCAAACCCCTCCCAGTCCATCCCAGTTCCCTCCCAGTCCCTCCCAGTTCCCTCCCAGTCCCTCCCAGTTCCCTCCCAGTCCCTCCCAGTATAAACCAGTCCCTCCCAGTTCCCCCCCAAACCCCTCCCAGTCCCCCCCAGTCCCCCCCAGTCCCTCCCAGTCCCTCCCAGTATGAACCAGTCCCTCCCAGTCCCCCCCAGTCCCCCCCAGTCCCTCCCAGTTTGTCCCAGTCCCCTCCCAGTCCCTCCCAGTTTGTCCCAGTCCCTCCCAGTGCTCCCAGTTCCCTCCCAGTCCATCCCAGTTTATCCCAGTCCCTCCCAGCTCCCCCCAAAACCCCTCCCAGTCCCCCCCAGTATAAACCAGTCCCTCCCAGTCCCTCCCAGTCTATCCCAGTTCCCTCCCAGCACTCCCAGTTTGCCTCCCAGTCCCCCCCAGTCCCCCCCAGCATAAACCAGTCCCTCCCAGTATAACCCAGTCTCACCAGTAGCCCCTGGCCGGGTCCCTCCCGCTGCTCTCGCGGCTCCTCCCCCCCCCGGGGGGGTTTCTCCTCCTCCTCCTCCATGGCACGGCCGGGCCTGGCAGGAAAAATGGGGCTGGGGGACCCAAAATCGGGGGGTTTCACCCCAATTCCAGCCCGGCCCCAATTTACCCAATTTCGGGGTTTTTTCGGGTCATTTTTGGGCCATAAATTCGACACTTGAGCCTCTCAAATCGGGAATTCCCACACGAAAATTCGAATTTTCCGCCATAAAATTTGAAATTTCTGCCTCAAAATCCTCAATTTCCACTCAAAATCCTCAATTTCTGCCCCAAAATTCTCAATTTCCACTCAAAATCTTCAATTCCCACCCCAAAATTCTCAATTTTACCCTAAAATTCTCATTTTTTCCCCCAAAATCATGAACTCCCGCCCCAAAATTCTCAATTCCCACCCCAAAATCCTCAATTTCTCTCCAAAATTCTCAATTTCCACTCAAAATCCTCAATTCCTGCCCCAAAATTCTCAGTTTTACCCCAAAATCCTCAATTCCTGCCCCAAAATTCTCAGTTTTACCCTAAAATTCTCAATTTTCCCCAAAATCCTGAACTCCCACCCCAAAATTCTCAATTTTACCCTAAAATTCTCAATTGTGCCCCAAAATACCCAATTTCTCCCCAAAATTCCTGAACTCCCACCCCAAAAGTCTCAATTCTGCCTCAAAATCCTCAATTCCCGCCCCAAAATTCTCAATTTTACCCTAAAATTCGAATTTTTTTCCCCAAAATCATGAACTCCCGCCCCAAAATTCTCAATTCCCACCCCAAAATCCTCAATTTCTCTCCAAAATTCTCAATTTTCCCCCAAAATCCTGACCTCCCAGCCCAAAATCCTCAATTTCTGCCACAAAATTCTCAATTTCTGCCCCAAAATTCTCAATTTCTGCCTCAAAATTCTCAATTTCCACTCAAAATCCTCAATTCCTGCCCCAAAATTCTCAGTTTTACCCTAAAATTCTCAATTGCGCCCCAAAATACTCAATTTCTCCCCAGAATCCTGAACTCCCACCCCAAAATTATCAATTCCCGCCACAAAATCCTCAATCCCCACCCCAAAATTCTCAATTTTACCCTAAAATTCTCAATTTTTCCCCAAAATCCTGAACTCCCACCCCAAAATTCTCAATTCTGCCTCAAAATTCTCAGTTCCCACCCCAAAATTCTCAATTTTACCCTAAAATTCTAATTTTTTTCCCAAAATCCTGAACTCCCACCCCAAAATTCGCAATTCTGCCTCAAAATTCTCAATTCCCACCCCAAAATCCTCAATTTCTCTCCCAAATTCTCAATTTTCCCCCAAAATCCTGACCTCCCAGCCCAAAATTCTCAATTTCTGCCCCAAAATTCTCAATTTCTGCCTCAAAATTCTCAATTTCCACTCAAAATCCTCAATTCCTGCCCCAAAATTCTCAGTTTTACCCTAAAATTCTCAATTGCGCCCCAAAATACTTAATTTCTCCCCAAAATTCTCATTTTTCCCCAAAATCCTGAACTCCCACCCCAAAATTCTCAATTTTCCCCAAAATCCTGAACTCCCACCCCAAAATTCTCAATTTTACCCTAAAATTCTCCCTTTTTCCCCAAAATCCTGAACTCTACCCCAAAATTCTCAATTCTGCCTCAAAATTCTCAATTCCCACCCCAAAATTCCCGAATTTCTCCCCAAAAGTTCTCAATTCCCACCCCAAAATTCTCAATTCCCACCACAAAATCCTCAATTTCTACCCCAAAATTCTCACTTTCTCCCCAAAATTCTCAATTTTTCCCCAAAATCCTGGACTCTCATCCCAAAATTCTCAATTTTACCCTAAAATTCTCTCCTTTTTTCCCCAAAATCATGAATTCCCACCCCAAAATTTGCAATTCTGCCTCAAAATTCTCAGTTCCCACCCCAAAATCCTCAATCCCCACCCCAAAATTCTCAATTCTTGCCACAAAATCCTCAATTTCTCCTCAAAATCCTCAATTCCCGCCCCAAAATTCTCTATTTTACCCCAAAATCCTCAATTCCCACCCAAAAATTCTCAATTCCTACTCCAAAATTCTCAATTTTGCCCCAAAATTTTAATTTTCTCCCCAAAATTCTCAATTCCCGCCCCCAAATCCCTTCTATTCCCCCCCAAAATTCCTTTTTTAGCCCCAAATCCTTCATTTCTCCCTCAAAATCCCACCCAAATTATCCTTTCACTCCAATCCCCACCCCAAATTCTCCTTTTCTTTCCCCAAATCCTTCCCAGAACCCCAAATTCTCCTTTTCTTCCCCCAAATCCCCTCCCAGAACCCCAAATTTTCCTTTTCTTTCCCCAAATCCTTTTCAGAACCCAAAATCCCAAATTCTAACCCCAAATTTTCCTTTTCTTGCCCCAAATCCTTACCAGAACCCCAAATTTTCCTTTTCTTCCCCAAATCCTTTTCAGAATCCCAAATTCTCCTTTTCTTCCCCAAAATCCCCTCCCAGAACCCAAAATTCTCCTTTTCTTCCCCAAATCCCCTCCATGCACCCCAAATTTTCCTTTTCTTTCCCCAAATCCTTTTCAGAACCCAAAATCCCGAATTCTAACCCCAAATTTTCCTTTTCTTCCCCCAAATCCTTTCCAGAACCCAAAATTCTCATTTTCTTCCCCCAAACCCTTTCGAGAACCCCAAATCCTCCTTTTCTCCTCCCAAACCCTTTCGAGAACCCCAAATTTTCCCTTTCTTGCCCCAAACCCTTTCCAGAACCCCAAATCCTCCTTTTCTTCCCCCAAATCCCCTCCCTGCACCCCAAATTTTCCTTTTCTTTCCCCAAATCCTTTTCAGAACCCAAAATCCCAAATTCTAACCCCAAATTTTTCCTTTTCTTCCCCCAAATTCTTACCAGAACCCAAATTCTAACCCCAAATTTTCCTTTTCTTCCCCCAAATCCTTCCCAGAACCCCAAATTTTCCTTTTCTTTCCCCAAACCCTTTCGAGAACCCCAAATCCTCCTTTTCTTCCCCCAAACCCTTTCCAGAACCCAAAATTCTCATTTTCTTCCCTCAAATCCTTTTCAGAACCCCAAATTCTCATTTTCTTCCCCCAAATCCCCTCCCTGCATCCCAAATTTTCCTTTTCTTCCCCCAAATCCTTTTCAGAATCCAAAATCCCAAATTCTAACCCCAAATTCTCCTTTTCTTCCCCCAAATCCTTTTCAGAACCCCAAATTTTCCTTTTCTTCCCCCAAATCCTTTTCAGAACCCAAAATCCCAAATTCTAACCCCAAATTTTCCTTTTCTTCCCTCAAATCCTTTCCAGAACCCCAAATTCTCATTTTCTTCCCCCAAATCCCAAATTCTAACCCCAAATTTTCCTTTTCTTCCCCCAAACCCTTTCCAGAACCCCAAATTCTCTTTTTCTTCCCCCAAATCTCCTCCCTGCACCCCAAATTTTCCTTTTCTTGCCCCAAATCCTTTTCAGAATCCCAAATTTTCCTTTTCTTCCCCCAAACCCTTTCGAGAACCCCAAATCCTCCTTTTCTTCCCCCAAATCCCCTCCCCGCACCCCAAATCCTCCTTTTCTTCCCCCAAATCCTTCCCAGAACCCCAAATCCCCTCCCTGAACCCCAAATCCCCTCAATCTCCCCCAAATTCTCATTTTCTTCTCCCAAACCCCCTCAAACTCCCCCAAATCCTCTCCCCGCACCCCAAATTTTCCTTTTCTCCCCCCAAACCCCTCCCAGAACCCCAAATCCCCTCAATCTCCCCCCAAATCCCTGACTTCCACCCCAAATCTTCATTTTCTTCCCCCAAATCATTTCCAGAACCCCAAATCCCCTCCCCGCACCCCAAATCCCCTCCCCGCACCCCAAACCCCCCCGATCTCCCCGAAATCCTCCTTTTCTTCCCCCAAACCCTTTCGAGGACCCCAAATCCTCCTTTTCCTCCCCCAAATCCCCTCCCCGCACCCCAAATCCTCCTTTTCTCCCCCCAAACCCTTTCGAGAACCCCAAATTTTCCTTTTCTTCCCCCAAACCCTTTCCAGAACCCCAAATTTTCATTTTCTTCCCCCAAATCCCCTCCCCGCACCCCAAACCCCCCCGATCTCCCCCAAATTTTCCTTTTCTCCCCCCAAACCCTTTCGAGAACCCCAAATTTTCCTTTTCTTCCCCCAAATCCCCTCAAGCCCCCCTCCCCTCCCCATTCCCCTCACGCCCCCTCCCCACCCTCCCCCCGCCCCCAATCCCCCCAAACCCCCTCCCATCCCCCCCAAACCCCCTCCCATCCCCCCCAAACCCCCCCCAATCCCCCCCAAACCCCCCTCCCCACCCCAAACCCCCCTCCCCACCCCCTCCCGCCCCCCAAAACCCCCTCAGGACCCCCAAAATCCCCCCGATCCCCCCTCAGGCCGGGCCCCGCCGCCATTTTACCGCGGCCGCTCCGCTCCCCGCGCGCGGGGCACGCCGGGTAGCGCCGCCTACCGGGGGGGAGGACCCGCGCCGCGCGCGCCGTTGCCAGGCGACGCCGCCGCCGTGGCCACGCCCCCTTCTCCGCTAAGGCCCAATCACAGCCGTCCCTTCCTCCCCATAGCCACGCCCACTCCTTAACCGAGCCCCGCCTCTTTCTCCTTAAATGGGAAGATGCGCGCGCACGGGGGCGGGGTTTGAATAAATTAAAATGAGGCCACGCCCCTCCCGCGCCCGGAAGTGAAGGGGGGGAGTTGGGGTTTGGGGAGGGGATTTTGGGGGGTCCCGAGAGGATTTTGGGGGGTCCCGGGGGGATTTTGGGGGGTCCCGAGAGGATTTTGGGGGGTCCTGACGGGATTTTGGGGAGCCCTGAGGGGATTTTGGGGGGTCTCGGGTGTGTTTGGGGAATCCCGAGGGAATTTTGGGGGTCCTGGGAGGATTTTGGGGGTTCTGAGGGGATTTTGGGGGGTCCTGGTTGTATTTGCGGGCTTCGGGAGGGGATTTTGGGGGTTCCCGAGAGGATTTTGGGGGTCCCGGGGGGGTTTTGGGGGGTCCCGGGGGGATTTTGGGGGTCCTGGGGGGATTTTGGGGGGTCCCGAGAGGATTTTGGGGCTCCCGAGGGGATTTTGGGGGTCCTGGGGGGATTTTGGGGGGTCCTGGGGGGATTTTGGGGGGTCTTGGTTGTATTTGCGGGCTTCGGGAGGGGATTTTGGGGGGTCCCGAGAGGATTTTGGGGGGTCCCGAGGGGATTTGGGGGGT